TGTTTAAAAATGTCAAATCACCGTAATGCGTGTAAGTTTTTTTAAAAGAAATAAAGAAGAATAAATGGAGAAGAATAGAGAAAAATAGAGAGTAATAGAGAAGAATAGAGAAAAGTTAATGATTTACTTATGTGTGCGCACGCGTATATATATTTATATGTGTGTGTGTGTGTGTTGCAAATACTCGACGATACGCGTTAATTTGTTAACGTATTTTAATACATTTAAAATACGTAGTTAAAATTCGTATTCAAGTTAAAAATGCGAAATTATGCGGGATTCCTTATATTTTATTAGAAATAAGCCGGATCTGCGCGTAAGATTAGGATTTGCCCTCAGACGTGTTATTTTCTAGGTCCGCAGTCAGCAGAAGTGCTAACCCGAAGGGGCTTAGCAAGCGAAGCTTAACACTCTGAGGGACTGAGGCAAGAATATATGATGAACGGAAGATTTAAGGGTGAAAGGACCCCAAAAAGAACTGACCGGGGCGAGGTTCGAACTCGCGATCTATAGATAACATTACGTGGCATATGAGACTATCGCTCTAATTTAGATCAATGTTAGATATTCCTTACCGTGATATCAGACTTTGCGACCTTACCTAACCAGCTAAGCCACCCAGTCGCGATTTTAAACTATCCTCAGATTCTATATGTAATGTTAAAAGCCAGGAGCTGCTGTTACAGGCCACGCGATTATGATGGAGGGCATTTGCCTGCAGCACACCAAAAGCCTTCCCGTTTGTTTCTTTTTCCCTGAGGCCGTATCAATGGACTCAATGGAAACCCCCACCCCTCCCCTCCCGTCTCGACAATCACGTACTAGTTTTCCCCATGGTGGCTGAACGAATATTATCAGTACTCTCGAGTCGCGAAATGAAATAATAGGCGAAACGTAGTATCGTTATACTTGAGACTTTGAGAGGTTCCGTCGGAGATTATAGGAGGTGCCTCTAGAGAAAAATTAGGTTCTGTTGTAGGATATTACGTATAGTTCAGGCAGCAGATTTGAGCGGTAACAGGGCTTCAGGGTTAGTTGATTGTATCATATATGGGTTGGTGGATAATTTTAGGGGCTCTTGGGGCGCATCGGTCCCATGAAGAGGTAAACAATTCAAGTGGATAGCCGCGCTCCTGCGTATGATTTGCCTTTATCTTGCATCTTCTGCCATAACTCATGCTTATTAACGAACTTTGTCTCAGCCACTTCTACAATCCTCTCCTCAAGCTCTGACTGAGAACTTCGCACGTTCCTCTTCGCCGCCTAGTCATCCCCATGATTTGGACGTCTTTGCACGAAAATGTTCAAAGATGAATATTCTATGAGAAACAATAGCGAAAGTCTAGACCGTAAGACCAAGGCTGGTGAATAAGGTAGGCATGAGTGGCAAATAGCTATTAGGCTGTGGCACTACATCGTACCTGGGTTGGCTGCAGAGCGGGGAAATTCCGCCCAAAGAAAGTCCCTTGCAATGAGGCCAATCTTTTTCTCCAGATCCTGCTCAGTAGCATGTTGACAACGCGACGATGCGCTTGTTTACAACGCTTCGCAACGGCCAAACGATGTCAATTATGGCGTGTGCTACGATATCAAAGCACCGTCCCATCCCCTACCTCCACGATTCCGCCAGCCTTGTTAGGCAGAGCTCAAGCTCTTGCAGCTGAACATGCTGAGCTCTCGAAGCAGCTTAACAGCGAGTATGATACTCGGATAGCAAAGAAAGCCGGGTCTCTTTCCGCTGTGGTTACGGCCTTGAACGGCTGGGAGTTGACCAGCAACGTTCGTCCCCAACCTGCAAGGCAGATGCATGGTCACTGATAGACAAATAGTCTTTGCCAGAGCTCCAGCAACTTATCAAAGACCCCTCAACGGACCCAGAGCTACGATCCCTTGCAGAAGAAGAGCTGCAGTCAACCACAGAGAAGCTCTCATCACTATCTAGCGACCTCCAGAAAAGCTTGATCCCAGAGCATCCATTTGCTCAAATGCAATGTCTAATTGAGATTCGACCTGGAGCTGGTGGAGATGAGGCTGGCATATTTGCTGGGAATCTGTTACAGATGTACCAGGGGTACTGCAGGCGGCAAGGTCTCCGAGTGAACATTCTCAAATTTGATGCTACAAAAACCCAGGGTCTTGAAAATTCAATCCAAGAGGCGGTCTTAGAAATTGAAACTCCAGGAGCATATGACATGCTCAGATGCGAGGCTGGAGTACACAGGGTACAAAGGGTTCCAGCTACTGAAGTCAAGGGTAGGACACACACGAGTGCTGTGTCCGTCCTGGTGTTGCCCAATTTTCCCAGCCAAGGAGAAGACGAGCTTGGGGAAAGTAACTTTGAGGACCCGTCAAACGACTACTACGTAGACCCTACAGATGTCCGAACAGATGTCATGCGTGCAAAGGGCGCGGGTGGCCAGCACGTCAATACTACGGACTCTGCAGTCCGCTTGACCCATTTGCCTACTAATACTGTCGTTGCTATACAAGACTCGAGATCTCAGCAGCAAAACCGTGCAAAGGCGTGGCAAATCCTACGAGCGAAGCTTGCTCAAGCACGGCGTGATGCCAGAGAAGAAGAGATGGCACAGCTACGCCTCAGCATCGTTGGAGTCTCCAAGATGGGTCGCGGTGACAAAGTCAGGACGTACAACTGGGGTCAGCAAAGAGTCACAGATCATCGAAGTGGAATCACGTTGCACCATCTTGATGACATTTTAGAGGGAGGAGAATCGCTTGACAAGGTGATGGCTAGTGTGAGAGAATGGCTGAAGATGCAAGACCTTCAATTGCTCGTCGCCGATGAGGAAGCTGCAAGAGCAAAAGCTGATATTTAGATTCAAAAACTTCGCCATGATAGCTGAGAAAGTAATCTGTGCTTCCACCGAACTATGCGCCAGGCATGAGAAAACACTGGAGGTGATCGCCCATGCTTGCCCGGACTTTGATTTCGGAGTCAGTGTTGCCTATTCGACGGATTCTATCAGGCCTTGGAACACGTCTTGAGAGTAAAGACTCTCATGACTCAGGATTTGCTCAAAAAGGAGTCATATGGGCTCCGACAACAAACACACATACTGCGTTGTGAAAGTGGTACTCAGTTGGAAGTCGGCGGGTTTCTCAAGCGTATGCCAGATTGTGTGCGAGGATGCAGGATGGGAACGAGGAGACGGCTCTTCATAAGCCGAGCAAGTCTCGGAAGAATGGAGAGACCGTTCATGAGATTGGTATGCTTTGTTCATGTCTTCGTAGGTAATCCTGCTTCCGAGCTTGTAGCCTGTTCTTTTGATAATCTGTTGGCAGGAACATCCCATTCATGAGGCAGTTTTGGACCCTGCACTGGGGATGTCTTCGGGTCGTAAAGCCCTGTGAACGCTATTTGTTTTCACTTTATCTGCGTCACAAATTTGCTTCAACTGCTCTTGTACTGATCTATCTCTACTAAATATCTATTACCATCCTCGCATCCAAACACCTATGCCGATTCTCGCTTTGGAAGCACCCGTCATTTGCCTGACCTCGCTCTTTCAGCCACAGTCGCTTTGCGGAAGCCATTTACCCAGATCGTATCTGCGCCGTCCTCCACATTCTGTGCTGGGACCCGAGATATCATTCTTTGGTGTCTGGATCGATGCATAGTGCTTTCCGGATGCCAGTAACCCTCGCGCCTAATGTCGTCCCCAACTTTCTGTCTAAGAATCCGGACTTTCTTCCCTAAATGTTCGCCTCAGAGATGACGCCAGTAGCACGTACGGCAACCTTCAGCATCAGTCTTCCTGAATTGAGAGACCTGAGGGACTATCGAAGGCTTGAGAGACTTGTGGATGAAGATGGTCAAGACTATTGCATTTCTTTGCAACGTTGGTTGCGTAGGTAGTCTCTCCAGAGATCTCTTCCAGACTGATTGCATCCGCAGTGGAAAGTAGTGGTTTTTTAAGGCACATGTGGACTTCGGAAAGAGTGCAGGGTTTGATTGGAAGCGGATAGTTCTTTGGACAGGATGCGTGGTTGAGCTCGGGAAACCTTTGTGTTTTCGTGACGTGCCTCATCTCTAATCTTTTCGCCATGAACGATCCGTGAAGAGGAAGTTATTGCGCTCAAAGTCACGACTTCAGGCTAATGCATGACACTATTCACGGCTTAGTGTGCCAGCAAATGTGTTCTCCGGCCCTTCGCACACCTTGCTGTCCCTTCAAGTCTGCCGCCCATACCTGTTTGAGTCTGGGATGTCGGCAACTGTCTCCCTGTACCTAAGCCCTTTTCGACTTCGTGGTTACTAGGAAGTTTTAGCGGTGCCAATAGAAGCCCTCGTGCTTGCTACGTCCTATCCCGAAGTCCTTGCCAAGGTACTAGTACAAAGACGGACATAAGGAATTATGAAGCAAAGCTTCTGACATGTTGGGGCACAGATCTTGTCGTTGATGGAATGTAACAGCACACTCCCTCAACCAGCCACCCCTTCTAGAGAAAGGCGAAGCCTCAGAATGCTCAAACCCTTAGGCAGAGAGATGCTCGATTATAACTGATTGGCCCTCGAGGTATTGAGAGTAATGAGAATACGACGCTGCACACGTGCCGAATAGTTGATATCACACGTACCTCGGCGGTTAGAAGGCCTTTGGGGTGGCGGGTTTTCCTCTTCAGCCAACCATGAAACGACCCCTCGTTGAGACTTCTGATCTTGACACCATCAACGCTTCGCCTTCCTGGGGGCAGTCCTTCCGAATAGGCTGCCATCCACCACCTGATGATTGCCCTCAGGTAGCATTAGATAACATTTACATTCTCATTTCCGTCTCCATGCTGAGCACGTGGCTATGGTCGCTGCTACGCTACAGCTTGATTTTCGCGCATGAGCATTGTGGTGGCCGCTAAATTATGGTGTCGTGAGATAACTTACATTCCTTGGGAGACACAAATGCCCTAGTGCTTTCAGACCATCTCAAACACCACCCACCACTATCTCTCACCGCTCTTCAAGGTCCGCACCACCTTTCGCAATGCCCTTGATCACAAGCCTTGTCTCGTATGAGTCGAACCTCCCACCAACAGCACCACTGACCTCCAAATGCAGAACGAAGCAGCCTATCATGCCAGGCTTGGCCTCCACACGATTTAACGATCCTTGCCGCTACTGGGATCTCTGGCACCACCCAGAGGACCTCGACTCTATCATTGCGTGCCTCATGTGGCGGGACAAACATCGTTTACGCGCTATGGACATCGCAGCTGCTCTGGCATTCGTCCAGCCAGCAGAGTACTGGGGCATGAGTGGGGAAGACGTCATTAAGGTATACTGCTACCTCCAGAGACACCAAAACATCCCAGAAAATCCATTCGCCGATTGGCAAAGCATGCGGGACATGAGAACGCACCCCCACTGGCGATACTATGTCATCTGGGCATCTTCCTGCAACGTTCGGCGAATGCAGAACTTGCTGGACGAGTCACTCTTACCTATGCACAAGCAACCAGATATGAGCAGGTAGGATCATCCTTCAGAAACTCCAATCTTCACCGAACACCCTCGGCTTTCTACTCACCAAACATTCTCAGCTGTCTTTTGAGCTTCAAGCTACCAACAACCTCCTCTCAATGTTTCCAAAGACAAGCCTACCGACACAGAAGCCTTCAGCCAGCCAGTCGCTAGCACACTGTCCCCGAAAGGTTGTCTGCCCGACACTCCCTATACTTTACTCCTCAGCGAACCTCCTCCCTCGGCCTTCACGATGCCCAGCATCCACTCGATCCGCCCAGAGGACGACGTCTGCGGGAAATGGCCCGGTCTTTGGTCACAAGGACACCTCATGGACTCTCTCATCTGCTGCATGATGTTCCGAGACCTCCATCACATGGACGAGGACAGCATCGCCTACGTGCTCGGGATCAGCTACAGAGGATGTGCGGGGATGACGGGGCGAGACGTCGTGGAGCTTTATGGATTCTTGCAAGCCAATCCGACCCTGCACAGCAACCCGATCAAGTACTGGCTGGACATCTTGAATCGAAACGTGGAGAAACCCGACGGTCGGCGTTTGGTGACCTTGGCGATCCTGAGGTTCGGCCGCAGAAGTCGTCCAAGGGAACGGTGAGGAGGGGTTTTCTCGCCTGCGGAGCGGTTTGTTGTGCAGTGTTGCACCAGCATTGGACTATAACACTTACTCTGTATCATAATTCAACCAATACCACTTATCTTTGACGTTCTCCTCCGCATCCACGATATCATTGAAGACGCCGGACGCCCGATAGGGCATCAGTCGGTGCCGGATATTAAATGACCTCGGCTTCCACCTGCCTAGCCAGTCCGATCTCTCGCAATTTCTGGTAATCTTACGGACGGTCGCATGCACATCAACACCAATGGATGGACCCGAAACCTTCTCAGGCAGGGGGGGCTGTTTTGAACTTCCGATGTCCTTCCGTGATACGAAATATAAAGCATCACCCAAACCTCACCTCTCCCACAACCATTCCCTTCAAACCTCTTCCACAACCCACATCTATCACTCACAACCCTTCACCACATCCGGCCCTCATCATGCCGCCACAAATGCCAGGTCTACACCCCCGTTCCCCCACATGATGCTATCCACCACCGCTAACCCAGCACCGCAGACTGCCCCCGGCAGTCCCCCGCCTCGATCGACCCCGCCACCGACATGTGCCGGAAATGGACCCTCTGGGGCCGAGGCGACTACCTCGACTCCGTCATCTGCTGCAAGGTGTTCCCCGAACGGCACTCGATGGACGACGGCGACATCGCGCGCGCCCTCTCGATCCTGCACAAGCAGTGCGCCAACATGACGGGGCCGGACGCCGCGGAGCTCTGGCGCTTCCTCGAAACGCACCCGAACCTGCACACGAACGGGCTCGTCGGCTGGCGGAAGATCAAGGACGGCGGTCCGATGGACAAGGTTGAGGAGGCCAAGGTTACCCAGGCCATCAACCGGTTCAAGAACCAGGTTCCTTCTGCGGGCAAATCTTGAGTGCGGAAGGGGGCTTGGGGCCCGTCCTGGAGGGCTTGCTGGTGAGCTGGATAGCTGCTCATTTGATAGAAGTCATCTCAAAATCATACATGACTCTTCTGTCCCTCAAACCCCCAGAACTTGAAAATCAAAAGCCGTCGTACATATCTTCAAAAATCTGCATGCATCGGAGACATCGCTCTGGCCTCTATTTAGTTCGCCATGGGGAGAAACCCCGCGTATGATCTCGTCGCCTCTAGGCTGCAATACGCGTCCAATGACGCTTCCCCCAACCACTGAGCAGACTTCAGGAGATCCCTTCTGGATAGAGGCCAAACCCTCTCTAAACGGCTCTTTGTAGCCGTAAAGGGGTATCTACTCAGACATTTTTTGGCCCCAGGCCACGAGCGAGGTGCAATCCGGCTTCACTCCAGCGGGTCTCTCAGCAACTTCCGGAATGTCACTCATAAATCCGCCTCTCGACCGCGGATCCTAGATCTAGAGACATCACCTAATCAGGTATTACCATCATTCACCACCAGAAATCGGTTCTTACCCCACTTCGAATAAGAGGCTGCATCATTGAACTGATCATTTTCAAATGTTCCCCTATCCTCCAAAACATCAGCACACTTTCCGATGAGTACTCCACCGCCACACACTATACACTTACCAACGGTACTTGTCTCCCTCCTCCAAAAATATGTCCATATCTAATACCCATACTTCAAACCCTACCAAGAGCACAACGCGGACCTAAACATGCCCGGCCGCACCAAAGACCCAATCTACAAACGGCGCCTCTGGTACAACCTAATTGGCCTCGACTCGCTGATGTCTGTTTGACTTAATTCTCCACTCATGACGCGACATTGCTCCCACCCTCGCCTACCACAACCCCCACTGCCATCAAGGCCCCACCGCACTCGACGTGAAGCACCGTGCACCACTACCTTGACGCAAAAACGACAGTTCCTACTTTGAAATTACTACGATCGGATTCGAGAACGGAAGGACATCGAGGCGACAAAGATGGATGATTTGCATCATCGGAATTTTGTTTCGGCGCACATTGGGAGATCAAGAGGTTGTATCGGGAGTAGTAGCCGGAGTTGTTCTCTTGGGTGCGGAGAAGTAAGGTTGGAGGCTGCGGATGTGTCGAAGAGGCTCAATGGTATAGCGAAAAGAGGTGGATCGGAGAAGGATGAGATTAGATTAGCCTAGTCGAGCTGATCGAGAATCGAATCGAATCGTCTCTCCCATGAACACCTACCTTGTGACTGGTCCAGCCGCTTCCATCCTACCCCGCCGTCATTGGCATTCGGTGGCCGTATGTCTTTTGCGCCTTGTATGGGTATCATGACGGCCTTGCAATATCTGCGAGCATGCCTGATATGTCTTTGGTATGTGGCCGTATTTATTTGTGGCATTATTTCTGGGTAAGAGGGTAGATGGAAAGGATCAAGCGTGATTGCCGGAGCTCGGCCGTAGCGCTTGCGAAGAGGCTGATGATAGTCTCTGGGTATGTCTTGCGAGAGAGCGCTGGCCGTTATCAATTTGTCAATCCCTCAAGATAATCTTTTGTAGATACAGGTGTTGTTCCCAACAGTCATGCGCATAGTCCAGGCAAGTTGTTAGGGTAATGGCAGTCTTGGACGTGGACCTTGTTGTATGTTTGGTAAATCGTGGATTGAAATAGTCAAGTAGGCAAAGAAGTAGCTAAAAGAGCGTATTGGACGGGCGAGGAGTTTTTATTTGGCATCAACGTCTTTAACTTTCTGAGACTTTCCAACGCTTCCTCTGCCATTTTCCCTAACTGATCCACAAGTCTTGTCCCTTCCATGTCTCATTTTCCCCACGCCTTTTGCCGAGCTGCAGAGTGCTATCGTTTGCTGTATCGCATGGTCGCTAAGGTGAAAATGGCTTCTCTCCGACGACGTTCTTGGTAGTGGGCTTCACAGGTAGCTAAAGAGGTAATTGTCAGTCACGCTTTTAACTCCGGCTTGTGGATAGTGTTTATTAGCAACACAGATGGCAACAGAGACTTAACAGGCTAGTCTTTTTGATAGTAAGGAACAAGGGATGAGAGTGGAAAGCTTGAATCACGGACCGCACAAGCCAGAGCTAACGATATTGTATGACCCCCGAGTCATACTTGGTGGGTTCAAGTCGCCAGGAGTCGTTAGCCGGAGTTCACAGTGAGCTTGGTAGTCGTCGCAGGGAGACACCAGATAGAAGTTGAAATGTCCACACGCTCTCTCGTAGACCGTCCACACGCACATGATGTTAGCTGACTTTGCAATCGATTAATGCTTGTTGCTTGCGACTTTGCATTCCACATGCTCTGAAGTGAATCTTCCGTGTCAAGAATAAAGCAAAGAGCAAGAGGACGATAACGGTATAGGACGACTGAGGATCCTTAAGAGACAGCCTTGCATCGGAAGATGAAGGCTACGCATGACAGCGTACACAGAAACAGCGAACGGTCTTCCGTAAGGGGTTGCCTCTCATTTGTCGCCCACAGTGGCACGAGACCTCCTCCCTAAGGTGCTGACGTAGAGCTCTTCACTGATCGCAGGCCGTAGACATGAGGTAATATGCTCCAGCGTTTCCAGTAGAGGCGTGGTATGCTACTCGCAGACCGAAGACCATTGGTCATGCCGCTTGTATGTTTCTGGAGAGGGCGTGTTGTGCTGGTCCCAGTTCTCAGAAGTTAACGTAGTCTCGCTCTCGTGTCTCTGGAAGGCAGTTGTTCGATTAGCGCCAGACCTGGCATGGTTGGTGAATGCTCAAACATGTCACAGAAAGGCGTATTTCCCTAGTTCATTTGCCACGACTTTCATTAGCCGTGCTCGCAGATATGTCGAGAAGAAGTCATCCACTGGTCCTAGTCCAAGCAAAACCGAGCCAATGGTGAGCGATGGTATAAGACAGACGTTTTTTCTGTTCGTCCCGGGCCAAAGGATTCGGGTTCATTGTGCTTGGATGCGGTTGGATATGCACCTGCATGATGACTTGGAGCAGAATAACAGGGGGGGTCAGTTCGAAGTATTGAAAAATCGTCCAGTGAAGCAACAACATACGTGCAGAATCGGATTACCGTCACTTGAACGGTTGAAGTAGAGAGAAGCGAAGAAGCCATGAAAGAGCGTCCAGGGAAACCAAAGGTCGCAAGCTCTTGGCGCTGACCATCCTCCGTGATTTCCCACCCTTGACACGGCCATCACTGACCCCGCTTCACAAGCTGGAAAATGGTACGGCACCCTTATGGAAATCTAGAGATGGGCGTCGTTGCTTTGTTTCCATCAAAATGTGTCGTAGTCAATGTGCTTAGCTGGAACGTCTTCATTCACCTTCATGCCTCTCCTCCTCTCCAATTGGAGCATTTGTGAATTATACTCCTACTCACATTCTCCACAATGGCTTCTAGAGAACCTACCCCCTGCTTGGGAGGCCCGTGCTTCCCGTTCCTGGGTTACGGTGGCAATGTCCCGTGGCCATGAAAGCTTTTGCACAATTGGCCGATAAAACGTGGCTCCTGGTCTTCGTGCAGTAAGAAGTCATTGGGTTACAGCGACGCCGATCTTTTGCGTTTTCTTGGCCTTCTCATGCGCCGTTCGGAAGGTAAAACCAGGGAGACTGAATGCCATACTGCAGGAAGCATTCAACCATTCGGATGAGTGATGGAAATTCCTTGCCAGAGAGCTGATCTTCGAATCAAAACGAGCAACAAGTGGTCATGCACTAGGTTCAGGACGAGTGATAAGCTAGGATGGCTCGCTGTCTGTCTGTAATGTTTCCGAAAACGTGAGTCTCATCGTTGAGTCCAATAATACGCTGTCTATGCGCTCGCTGCAAATGTTCGCCACTACCCTGCGGCTTGTTGGCACTCATCCGAAGCGGTTGCCTGCGAAAGTGTTTACACTCATGACTCTTCGTAGGTCCAGCAAGAGAAAATTTGTGGACAGGAGCCACGGGCCATTCTCTGGTTGGACCTCAATCGACAACAAAGGCTCGGATGGCGTGTCCTATAGTCTTGATGGTTGGTCTCAGAGAAGGAGCAATGAAGGATGTTTTGCCCCTTGATAGACTAAGTCACCTGGCATGCGAGCGTCGGGTCCCAATCG